AATGACCTATGACAAACCGACAGCCAATATCATATTGAATGGGCAAAAGCTAGAAGCGTTGCCCTTGGAAACTAGCACAAGACAAGGATGCCCTCTCTCCTATTTAACATAGTATTGAAAGTTCTGGTCAGAGCAGTCAGGCAAGAGAAGGAAATAAAGGGCATCTAAATAGGAAGAGAGAAGTCAAACTATCCCTATTTGCAGATGACATGACCCCATATCTAGAAAAACCCAGAGGCTCAATCCAAAAGCTCCTTCAGCTGATAAACAACTTCTGCAAAGTTCCTTCAGCTTATACACAACTTCTATAAAATCAACATACAAAAATCACTAGCATTCTTATACACCAACAATAGTCAAGCCAAGAGCCAAATCAGGAACAGAATCCCATTCACAATTGCCACAAAAAGAATAAAATACCCAGGAATACAGCTAACCAGGGAGGTGAAAGAGCTCTACAATAATAACTACAAAACACTGCTCAAAGAAATGACACAAACAAATGGAAAAAAAAATTCATCCTCCTGGATAGGAAGAATCAATATTGTTAAAATGGCCATACTGCCCAAAGCAATTTGTAGATTCAATGTTATTCCTATTAAACTACCATTGACATTCTTTACAGAACTAGAAAAAAAATTTTTAAATTCATATGGAACCAAAAAAGAGCTGAAATAGCCAAGGCAATCCTAAGCAAAAAGAAGAAAGCTAGAGGCATCATGCTACCTGACTTCAAACTATACTATAGGGCTACAGTAACCAAAACAGCATGATGCTGGTATAAAAACAGACATATAGACCAATGGAGGAACATAATAGAGAGCCCAGGAATAAGGCACATGCAACCATCTGATTTTTGACAAAGTTGACAAACGGCAAGCAATGGGGAAAGGACTCCTTATTCAATAAATGATGCTGGGATAACCGGTTACCAGTGAAGAAGATTGAAACTGGGTCCCTTCCTTACACCATATACAAAAATCAATTTAAGATGGATTAAAGACTTACATGTGAAACCCAAAATCATAAAAACTCTGGAAGACAACCTAGGCAATACCACTCTGGACATAGGAACAGGCAAGGATTTCATGACAAAGACACCAAAAGCAATTGCAACTGAAGCAAATGTTGACAAATGTGATCTAAGTAAACTAAAGAGCTTCTGCACAGCAAAAGAAACTATCCACAGAGTAAACAGACAACCTACAGAATGGGAGAACATTTTCTCAAATTCTGCATCTGACAAAGGTATACTGAATATTCAGTATCTATAAGGAACTTAAACAAATTTACAAGAAAAAAACCCACCTCATTGTAAAGTGGGCAAAAGACATGAACAGATACTTTTCAAAATAAGACATACATGTGGCCAAGAAACATGAAAAAAAGCTCAACATCACTGATCATTAGAGAAATGCAAACCAAAACCACGATGAGATACCATCCCACACCAGTCAGAATGGCTACTATTAAAAAGTCAAAAAAGAACAGATGCTGGCGAGGTCACGGAGAAAAAGGAATACTTTTACACTGTTAGTGGGAATGTAAATTAGTTCAATCAGTGTAAAAAGCAGTCTGGTGATTCCTCAAAGACCTAAAAACAGAACTATCATTTGACCCAGCAATCTTATTAGCAGGTAAATATCCAAAGGAATATAAATTGTTGTATCATAAAGATACATGCACACATATGTTCATTGCAGCATTATTCACAATAGCAAAGACATGGAATCAACCTAAGTGCCCATCAATTGTAGACTGGAAAAAGAAAATGTGATACATATACACCATGGAATACTATGCAGCCATAAGAACAAGATCATGTCCTTTGCAGGGACATGGATGGAGCTGGAGGCAATTATCCTTAGTAAACTAATGTAGGAACAGAAATCCATAGACAGCATGTTCTCACTTGCAAGTGGGAGCTAAATGATGAGAATACATGGACGCAGAGGGAACCACACACACTGGGGCCTACTGGAAGGTGGAGGGTGGGAGGCGGAAGGGGATTAGAAAAAATAACTAACGGGTACTAGGCTTAGGCTTAGTACCTGGGTAACAAAACAGTCTGTACAACAAACCCCTGTGACACAAGTTTACCTACATAACAAACCTGCACATGTGCCCCTGAACTTACAAGTTAAAAACACACATACATAGATGACTACCCTGTTGCCCCGCAAACTGGAGTCTGAGGAACAGCACAAGAAGGAGCACATTTCCTAATGGCTGGAGGTCCAAGTGGGCTGCACTCAGCAACGGCCAGCTTCCTCAGCAGTGGGAATGCCATCTGCTGGGGGTTGTGGGGCAACACAGGTTTTCTGGACACTGGTTGGCTTATTGAACTTTTGGCCAATGCTCAATAGCCACTGTGTCAGACTTGGGCTGAGAATGTTCCAGCGATAGGTTCCAATGAGGTGGTTTAGACCTGATTTTGGGTTCTACTCTTACCTACTTGAAGCCTGCAGGGAACATCCCAGCATTCGTGGAATACTGGTTGGCTTAGTGAACTTCTTTTTTCCCACCGTCCCACCCAACTCCCAACCCCTAAGGAGAAAACAAAGATGTTTCCTACCCCAAAGAGGATCATTTTTAGGGATGTGATTTCGCCAACCACTGCAGGTAAGGAGGCCAGTGCTGAGTATGGCTGAGTGCAGCTTTTGGTTTGGGCTTCTAATGAAAGACAGCTGAACAGTTTGGTGAAGCAACTCCTCTTCAACACTCGAGGAGTCTAAGCTTTAAGAAGCAGGGGTATATTGGCCCTAAGACTGCTAGGAAAGGATCACACTGAGGGTTTGAGGCAGTTGGCTCTTCAGGGGGGCCCTGAGGAAGCCCCTGGCTAACAGGGCACCAATGAGTTAGTTTCAAGTGAGAAAAATGTTGAGCAGATCCCTTGACACACACAGGCCACCCCCGTGGGCGTCCATCACTGTTAGGTAGCACTCGCACAAGCACCCTCACCAGGGCAGCCCCATTTGACACGGGGGCAAACACATTCAGAGCAGAGATGCTAAGTAATTTGCTTGAAGTCCCAGGGCTGGTAAGGACAGCTGGGCACTGCCATCATGCCTGGCTTAAACAGGTACCCAAAGCCTGCAATGCTGCTCCTCAGGAGAGCAGCCAGCATGTGGCAGGATGTTAGAACCCAAATAACCACATCAACGACACAATCAGATACCAACAATACACAGTGCTGCATTCCAGTAAGAAAAGGCCAAGACCAGACTCATGTTTATTGAAATGTAAGATTTAAATAATACTTTCAAACTCTTCTATCCTTTCCGTTCTGAACTTTGGTCTTAAGAAATTACTTTGGTATTCTGGTGTTGAGCGGTAGGAATGGTAGAAAAGTTGATTGCAAACCAGTTAGCACACAGAAACCGAGACACAGCTGAACTAGCACTGAAAATGATTTGGAAACACTGGTTTCAGCCATTACAAAGACTGCAAGATTTTAATTTTTGATGCAGCTTGGGAAAAAAGATGGCCAGTGGTAGCACACTAGAAACATCATTTCATGGCACTGGGCCATAAACCACACGTGACGGGCTTGGTGGTTATGTACCGTAATTCAGCAGGATGGCACGATCTTTACGTAGAAGGCATATTTAGATACAAAAAAGTGAGCAAAGTTACCTGAGTACAGAATGACTAACCTTTATTGTCCCTTGCTGTCTGTGCAGAGGCAACAGAATAGCAAAACAAAAACTATCTGTCCGGGAAATCTCCGGACAAGCAGGAAGGTTGATGGCACTGACCCGCCTGGCCAGAGCATCAGTGGCCACACTTCAAGCCACATGGGGACCCTCCCTGGACCTCCCACTCTGACTAGTGGTTCATCACGGGACTATCAACTCACCCTCCACTGGTCCATCTGACATCCTGGGGTGCTGGTTGCTTAATACAAAAATACTAATCTTGACCTCCCACAGGCAGAGGATGCCCACAAGCCAGCATGTGACAAAACTGAAAATAACTGTCACCTACAACTATGAGTCTTAAATAAGTTCCTGAAGCCAAAATGTACATCTGTCTTTGGTCCTTTAATTGCTCGGCTATACCCGAATTGCTACGTGTGCATCAAAGTCATTCAGCGGTCCAGGCACTCAACATTTAGTGGGATTCCAGCATCAGGTCAAAACGTCATTCTCATTAGCGAGACCCAAAAGAGTCTGGAACTACTGGTTTTTCCCTGGATGTATTCTGTCTCATGTAATGATCTCCCTCACCTGAATGTCTATTCACAATAACTGGGTGCCACCAACCCCAGGTATAAGACACCAGACTTCTAATTTATTATAATCTAAGGCAACCAAAAGATAGACTTTCCTCACAGGTAACTCTCATGGCAGAGTAAGTGTGCAACACGTCACTTCTCCCGAACGCTTCCCTAGGCTGCAGTTGGAAGGGTCCAGCGCTGGTGCAGATCCTTAGCTGTGTATTCTGGCTCCACCACACAGCAGCCATGTGTTGGGTGCACTGCCTGTGGGCCTCACTTTCCCCATCTATAAAATGGGGATGAGCCTCATGGAGCTTTGATGAGGAACAAATGGGAGCGCAGCACATGGCACAGAGGGAGCGCTTGATACGTGATTGACCTAGGAGGGCACAAATGCCAAGTCATGTGACTCTGCAGCCGCAAGGCCTGGCGCATCAATATAAATGCTCCTGATCGAGAGGACAAATTGAGAGTCAGCCATGGGGGACACACGTTGTGAGAGCGCTGGCTGCCAAGAGTGCAGCAACATATTTCTAAACAAATGCTTTCCAAAGAGCAAAGTTCAGAGCAAGCTTGAGATTCTGGGTTCCCGTGGAGTTTCACTAATTAAAACTCATTATTTCAATATACAAAAATGTGGGGGTAGAAAATGAAAACACACAAGTAATAAATGTTAAGCTCTTCTTTAAAAATGATTCCCACTCTGCAATGAGTGAAAGCTTCAGTAATTACTCTCCCATGATTGAGTCGGAGTTTTCCCGAAGATAAACACACACAGAGCCTTGTCATAATACTTTTTTTTTTATTACAATATCCAAAAAACTGGGTATGCAAGTTTAGGGGATCTCAAGACCCCTTCTTCAATCGTAGGAATGTGCCATCTCAAGACGGTATATTTAAACTATAAAGAAGTTCAAATGTAAAGGAAAAAGAAAATGCAATTTCTTCATAAACATTCTGTGTCTCTTACTACCAATCACATACTCTTTTGTAAACCCTGAAAAATTTCCCTGTAAATAATATATATATATATAGTGTGTGTGTGTGTGTGCGCGCACGTGTGTGTGTGTATAAAGTGTTGGTAGCTCCCTTCCCCAAAGACCAGCTGTTTTCCTTAATCATCTGTATTAGTGTCAACAAACGGCTACAGATACATATTTGAGAATTAAATACATAATTGTGAGATTCAAACAAGCCGAAGGGCAAGAGGAAAAAGCACTATGTGGATGGCACATTTGGGGTAAATTACCAAAACATCTGTCTTTCTGCGTCACCGGTTCCCTCTTTTGCAGACTGCCTTTCCAGGAAATTCTTTATTGCAAGCACAGCCCCAAAGGCACTGGGCAGTTTCCTCACTGCCATCGCACCTGGTGGTTCCAGTATTGCTATCAGCAAACGTGTCGGCTCCCTGCAGAGTCCGGGAGCCATGTAAGGGCACAGGACACGGGCGAGGGCTGCTAGGACTGGGGCCCACCTGCTCTGCCCAGCACGCAGAGTGCCCAGGACGCGGGTGCTGCCGCTGGGTGGCCTGAGGCGCGCTCCTGCGCTCACAGGTGCCCTGCGTCTTTTTAAAGAGGGGTTCCATGAGCGGGAACGAGTTGAATGCACGAGCGCCGTTTCCGATGGAAAAGGAATAATGTGAACTCGCCCCTCTCTCCTCCCCTCCTCTAAAGCTGGCCGGCCGGGTGGGTTCGAGTGTGGGTGTTAGGCCTGGATGGCGAATGGGAGACAAACCGACCAAGCGACCTGAACATAAAGAAGAGACTCGCGGAGAAGCCGTCGGGGCCGCCGCCCCCACGGGAGGAGCCTCTGCCACAAGGCCGGGCGGGCAGCTCCACCGTGGGGCCCGGGAGGCGAGTGTGGGGCCGGGGCGCCGTCACTGCAGAGCCCTGACGAGGTAGAGCTTCTCCCCGTGCTCGCTGGTGAAGATGGGCGCCTTTTTGTAGTGCTCCACCAGCTCGTCCATGGTGTGGAAGCGCCGCTGCCCAATGCAGTAGACATTGTCCACGAGCTGCACCTTGAAGTGTTTGTTCTTCCCTGACGCTTTAAGGGACACGGAGAAGTCGCTGGGCTGGGGAGGAAACAGAATACAGTTACAGCCAGGCCCACAGCTGGGAGCTGTGTCTAAATCCATCCACATCTCCTGTGTGTCTAAATCCAAACCACCCATTGCTCAAACGCTGGGTCTCTGGTTTTTTGTTTGTTTGTTTGAGATGGAGTTTCACTCTTTTGCCCAGGCTGGAGTGTAGTGGCACAATCTTGGCTCACTGCAACCTCCGCCTCCCAGGTTCAAGCCATTCTCCTGGAGTAGCTGGGATTACAGGCGCCCGCCACCACGCCCAGCTAATATTTGTATTTTTAGTAGAGACGGGGTTTCGCCATGTTGGCCAGGCTGGTCTTGAACTCCTGACCTCAGGTGATTGCCCCACCTCCCCGCCTAAGCATTCCAAAGTGCTGGGATTATATGCATGAGCCACCACGCCCGGCCAGGTCTCTGTTTTATATCTAGAACGGCATCTGATGTTCAGAAAGACCTGGAGGCAGTCCATGATTCTGAAATTCTGAACCAAAGAAAAAATAAATTCTGCTTAGCCCAGTTTCAGTGCTAAATGCGTTTTAGTTATTTGAAAAGTGCAAACTCATTATGGAATATACAGTGTTGCCCTGACTGCTGAAGAAATTTGCTGTTTTTCATTTCCCAAACTATTTTTTGATAAATTGGGAATTTATTAAGAGTGGTTTGTATGCAGGCAGTGGCTAGAAATTTTACTATTTCTGATATCTAACACTATTAGAAATTAAGACGTCAAAATTTTTCTAATTCTTTTTTTTTTTTTGAGATGGAGTTTCGCTCTTATTGCCCAGGCTGCAATGCAGTGGTGCGATCTTGGCTCACTGCAACCTCTGCCTCCCGGGTTCAAGCAGATTCTCCTGCCTCGGCCTCCCGATGTGCCACCACGCCTGGCTCATTTTTCTAATTCTAAGCATTTGAAAATATGAACAGCAGTGGAAAATTCCAGATGCATTTTAAAACTTAGTTCACAATATCCCAGAGGAAGCTGAACTATGGTTTGATTATAGATTTTATTGAAAAATATTTAAATTCTGTGATGTCAGTGCCTTACATTTCAGAATATTTTAGAAACATGTCATTATTTTAATCAAAATGCATCTTTTATTGGCCAGGTGCAGTGGCTCACGCCTGTAATCTTAGCAATTTGGGCAGCTGAGGCAGGTGGATCACCTGTGGTCAGGACTTTTGAGACCAGCCTGGTCAACATGGTGAAACCTCATCTATAATAAAAATACAAAATTAGCCAGGCATGGTGGTACGTGCCTGTAATCCCAGCTACTTGGGAGGCTGAGGCAGGAGAATCGCTTGAACCCGGGAGGTGGAAGTTGCAGTGAGCCGAGATCACGCCACTGCACTCTGGTCTGGGCGACAACAGCGAAACTCCATCTCAAAAACAAACAAACAAAAATGTGTGTGTGTGTATATATATATATATAGAGAGAGAGAGAGAGAGAGAGAGGTCTTTTATTTCATTTGGTGAAAAACATGCAGGAAAGAAGATACTAAATGATAAATATTCTTTGTACAAAAATATCAAGTTTTGATCAATTCATTAAATGAATAACAATTAGTTACTAACACATGCCAGGCAGGCGGTACCCTGGATACGTGTGTGTGCATGCAGGACATATGCTCTGTGACAATCCAGTGTGGGGAGCAGATAAATAGAGGTGGACAGATGGCTGCACAGGGCAGTAAGTTCTATGAAAAAAAAAAGAAAACAACAACAACAACAAACAGAGTTGCATGAGAGAGGAGCAAGAGGTACCAGAGCTCTAAGTGTGTGAGCGTGTGCAGAAATGAGAGGGAGTATGTGAGTATTGAGGGTGTGTGGGAGTATGTGAGTATTGAGGGTGTGTGAGAGTATGTGTAGCGTGTGAGTGCATGTGTATGAATGTATGAATGTGTGTGCACACACACAGGTATGCACTGGGGGGCAGGAGAGCCCGCTGGACAATGTGGAGCTGAGCCTGTGCTCTACGAGGCAGGGCTGGTAGAGACTGCTCGGGAAATTGGCACCTCGGTGAAGAAAGGGAAGCAGGTCCTGTTCTGTGGCACTAAAGAGGCAGTGTGGCTGGTGGAGCGGAGAAGGGAGTCTGGTCTCCCCTCAAGGGCCCGAGAGTAAAATTCACGTACCCAACTGGCCCCTGCCTGTGGTTCCAATCCATCAGACTAAAGGATTTCCCACCCCCAGTCCCAATGTCACTCCTGTTCATGATGTTCTTGGGGCCATCCTCTGTCTCCTCATGATCAACTATTCCCTTAAGGCTCAGCTCAAAGGCTATCCCGCTGTTAAGAAGCCTCACTGACCCCAAACAGGGTAAATCCTCTACCCACTGGCTTGGTAGGTAGCATCAGGTTCATGCCTGGCCAGTGTCAGGACCACAGCCTAACATCTGAAATTTTTCATGGAATTCCCAGACCAGCTTTCTGCTTTTCTCAAAGCCCAGGAACTTCCTGCTCTGAGGGTCCAGCAGTTCGACCCCGCTCTGCGACCTCCCAGCAGGACCTGAGACAGTTAACAAAGGCCTAGGCCATTGTCTGTTACAGAGTTCACAAAAGCCCAAGTATGTTTGATAAGAAGTGTGCAACCCTTGCAAAACAAGGAATCACTCCATTTATACCAATGACAACTCAGGGGAATGAGTGCCTGAGAGGACTCGAACTGTGCAAGGCAGCTGGGCTCACCCACCAGCCACAGCTGTTAACAGAAAAGAATGAAAGGAACAATTGTAAGCATAGTTTGTATTTATGCATACCTCTGTCCCAAATAGACCAAATAAGAACAAACCTTTGAGGGGGAAAGCCCCATCTCATTGCCATGTGAGGCCCAGGGCATGCTCCTGGATGAAACTCCAGGAAGAAACCAGAAGGTTAATCTCAGATTAGGCCTTAGCCTATAGATGATTAATATTCTGTAAAGATGTATATTCTGTACTAGAAGTTTGTGCCTTTAGGAAAACATGAAGGGCAGTCTCACTTACAGAGTTTACTATAAGCCAGGCTCAACTTAGAGATAAAGTGGCATCATTTTTAGTGGAGGCAGTATGGGAGTGAATCATGGTAAATATATGATACTCCCAATTTTAATTAAGCCAATTGATCAACAGATGACTTTCTACATAAGGGAAATTTGCTTTTAATTCAAGCTCCTTAATTTAACATCATGGTGTGTGTGTGTGCCTGTATGCACGCATGAGTTGCAGCAATAAAATTTTCATAGCAGAAGAGGTAATTTTTAATTTTGTGTGCTCCTGACCAGAAACCTTAAAGTTAAGGATGTAGAACCAATTTATGCCAAGCAGGAGTGCTAAAAGTTGGGGAGTGCTCTTTGATTTGAACTGAGTAGATTTTCTGTAGGAAATCTGAAAAAGACTAATCTATATACTAACATACACCGTTACATGTTACCACTGAACACCTCTAAGTGAAGTGTGAAGATGAACTAGTTAAGATGTTCTCCAAGTGTGCTCTTAAGACCAGCAGCATCAGCATCCTCTGGGAACTGGTTAGGAAGCATATTCTCAGGGGCCAGCCATGGCGGCTCACACCTGTAATACCTGCCCTTTGGGACGCCATGGTGGTGGGATTACTTGAGGCCAGGACTTTAAGACCAGCCTGGGCAACATAATGAGACCCTATCTCTACACAAAATTTAAAATAATTAGCCAGGTGTGGTGGTGCATACCTGTGGTCCCAACTACTTGGGCGGTCAGGGTGGGAGGATCACTCGAGCCCGGGAGGTCAAGGCTACAGTGAGGTATGATAGCGCCACTGCACTCCAGCCTAGATGACAGAGTGAGACCCTATCTCAAACTAATTAAATAAAAAAAAGAAAAAAGAAATGCAAATTCTCAGGCTCTGCCTCAACCCTGCTGCAGCAGAAATTCTGGGGTGGAGCCCAGTCATCTGTGTTTTAACCTCCAGCACCGTGTGTTTTAATAAGCCCTTCAGGGGATTCTGATGCAGTTTGAGAACTGGAAGAAAGAAAATCTGGAACACACATCGGCAGTGTTGGAGCCCATCAACAAATGTTTGGTCACCAGAAACAGATGGGAATGCGATTTATGGGCAAAGCAGCCCACGATGGAGGGAGTGCCAGTCTGCAGATACCTTTCCGATTCTGTCCTGAGGACTCTGGCTCTGCTCCAGGCATCTCTCATAGGGAATTTCCCCTGAAGGGACAGCTGGGACACTGCTGTATGGTCTCTTCCTTTCAAAGTGAGTCAGTCCCTGCATCTGATGGAGATGGAGTTACTCCTGACCCAAAACAACTCTGCCTCCAGAGGGCGCCAGGGAATGATTCCCATGAAAGCAACTCCATCAGTCCCGTTCTCATCTGTTGTAGTCCTTCCATGGTTGGCTTTCTAGAACAGACTTCAAGAAATCAGATGAAAAAGGACCACGCCACACTCGTTCCTCAACAAGTACGAGTACTGATAGTATGGCAGAGTACTCTACATTTAAGTTTGTCAAAGAATCTTAACACATTTTTGAAACATGCAGTCAAAATGCTGGCTGAGGCTGCAGTCATCTGAAGGCTCGATCGGGGATGCAGACTCTACTTCCAAGGCGGTCTGCTCACATGAACCCCCGGGGGGCTCTGTAGGGCTGCCTGAATGTACTCTCAACATGGCAGCTGAGATCAACAGATCAACAGACAGCAAAGAGCCACCCACAATGCCTGTCTCAGAAGCTGCCCTCCATTGCTTCTGCCACATCTTGGTCATTTTGAGTTGCTCAGTGCAGCCCATGCTCATGGGAAGAGGGTCAGGCTCTACTTTCTGAAGCAAAGAGTAGTAAAGAATTTATGGACATCTTTTTAAGCCATCATAGATGGACACGACACTCATTAAGATTTTCTATGGTTGGACTAAAACCTAACTAGACTCAGTCCCCGGGTTTTGAAACATCTGCCCTTTGATTTCTCCTCTTTAATTGCCACCTTTGTGCTACCTCCCACTGTCCACATTTCCTACACTTTCCATCTCCAAACG